GTAAGCATGTACTACTACAAATGGTAAAGTTGTTTAACCAAATAACAACAAACTTAGTTATAAGGATGACATTAAAGTAACAGTAATTTACAATTGGTAAACAAAAATAGTGGTGTATACAACCTATGACCATCTCAAAACAACACAGAAAACAAAAGTGATGCTTCTGAAAATTATGATACTTCCACTGCCCGTGAATACCAGGTCAGAGGAGAAACACTGCAGTGTCATTGGTAGGTGATGTGTGAAACCAGAGCTCTTGGGCAGTTTGGGGTCCACCAACAACTTGTGGACGGTACTAACAGAATGCCTTAATTTGGAACACCTTTGTACAAATTATAGCTATATTCAGTTGTGGAAAGTAGTTTTGCCGTAATTCTTCAAAAACACTGATTTATTTTTCACTTTGAAGGGCAAGCTAAATAGTGTATTTTTAGTATCTTTTTGTTGTTCTAGAAACCCAGTAGTGTCCAAACTTAGTGTGTGTCCAGAATCACTGAGATTCTTGCAAAGACTCACAGCTTCTGGGTCCCACCCCTAGAGGTTCAGGGTGTGGCCCAGGAGTCTGCAGTTTAACACGCTCTGGTGGCTCCATAGTGGGTGATCCCCACTCCTTTACTCGAGGGCTGACAAAGTAGAAGGGCAGGAGTTGGGGCGACGTCCTGAAAACCCCCAAAGCTTCATCTGAAACCACTCACTGCTTCTCCTTTTTTCAAGTCCTTGCAGTAACCCGTCTGCCTCATCCTCCCGAGAGCAGTCAGTCACCTCTTCACAGTGATGAAGGTCGGCCTGTGGTAGCAGGAGGGAGGTGTGCAGGAGTCCGGGCACTCCCAATTTTTGATAGCGAATGGGGAGGAGAGTTCACTTTGCCTGACTTAGGTCTGTCCCTCCACAACTCCTTGTCTACCTCCTGTTCTATGTTTCATTGTCAGACTGTAGGGAATTTATACTTTCCTAAGAATAGCTACCCACTCTTTGAAGATTTTTGTTTTTGAAGGCTTTTCTGTGAGGCTACAGTTTTCCTTATTGAGGAAGAGAGTAAATGAAGATTGACATTATGTCAGTATGCTCTAGATAGGCAGTAACATCATTTAAGAACTAATACACATTAGAACACTACAGAAATCTTTGCTGCAGACAAGTCTCACAGTGGATGGAAAAAAGAAAAAAACTGACAGCAGAACTTTAAGGAGAAACAGGGTATTTGCATGATCTCAAAAGTATCTCCTGCAAGATATTAATAACATCAGGAAAAATAGTAGCTTTGCTATGGAGAAACCCTGTAGGCAACCACCTTAATCAAGTGGTCAAGATCCACAGCACCAGTAAAAAGATCTGTCAGTGTAGGGGTGTAGCCCCTGATGTGATGTGTAGAGAAGGCACGCCACTTCTGTGGTGTCCTTCTCTATAATGCGTGATAATGTCAGTCTAATCACAAGGAAACATCAGACAGGCCCAAATTGCATACCTTTCTACAGAACATCTGACCAGTGTTCTTCAGGAGTGTCGAGGTCATAAAAGTGAGGCAAGACTGAGGAACTGTCAGAGATGAGAGGAGACTGAGGAGCTGGGCCAGCTAAATGCAACATGAGATCTGAGATTAGGTCCTGGAATAGGAAAAGAACGAAAACTGGAGAAACACAAATAAAATCTATAATCCAGTTGCTGCTAGTTGCTAGTATTATAGCATTGTTAACTTACTAGTTTTGGTAATTGTACTATGATTATATAGGGTGTTGATGTGAGGGGAAGCTGAGTGAAGTATACAAAGGAACCTTCCATTTTTGTCCCCTTTCTGTAAGTCTAAAATGATTACATAATAAAAAGTCGGTGGGGGGATGGTGGTACGTTTGTTTAGTAATGTGTAACTTAGCATTCAAGAATGTATCTCCCTCAGCCAGCCTCTTCACCCGTGTTTCCCCCTTACATGCTTTCAGGTTCCAGCCACACTGAATCATTTGTTGTTGATTAGCTCCTTTTGGGGAGCGAGGAAGGGTGATACAATTTTTGTATGTACTATAAAATATTTATAACCAGTGTAACAATGGGCTGTGTACTCACACCTCATTTTATAAAATATGACAATGCAGTGCAGCCCCACCCCCCCCTTACCTTCCTTTATGGCATTCAGCCCCCATCCCCTTTGACCACCCATACAGAACTGCCACCACTTACAGATAATCAATAGAATTTGCTGTTTACTGACCCTGTTTTGTTATTTTGCATTGTTCAAAACTAACATAAGTTGCCTTCTTCGGTGTCATATCTGTAGCTTGCTTTTTTTTAACCCCGCGTGTATGTCTAATTCATTCCTTTTTGTCACTGTGTAGATTTCCACTTTATGAATAGCCAGTATGTATTTATCTTTTCTCCTGCTGGCACACATATTGGGAATGTTTTGCTTTTTTATTTTTTAATTTGTTTTGCTTTTTAATGATTGTTCATTTTTAAAAGTATCTTCTGAGACCAAAAGAGATCTCTACTCCTTCTGAATTCCAGGAACATTATCCACCACTTTTAGCTTAGCATTTGTGACCTTCCATCATAATTATTTTCTTGTTCTCCTGCATCAGATGGAAAGCTTCTTGAGGATCGGATTCCCCAAGATAGACATTGTTGGGTAATAAGGATTTAATTTTGTTGAATGAGTAAATACTTGGATGAATTAAACACTGCCTACATACAGATGTTGGGTATTTTATTTCCTTAGTTGTTTTATGGTGTTGCCTCTTGGGGACTTTGTTAGAAAGGTTTATGCATTGTCAGAAACTGGTCACTGCACTAGAAATATGGGGCATAAATAAAGCCTAAAACTTAAAAAAAATTATATACTAGATTTGCAGGCAGTGCAGGTACAGGGCTTTTGTGTGTGTGTGTTTAACATCGAAGGAGAAAGTGCAAAATCAGGGATAATTTGATCTGCATTTGGCATTACAAAACGGAAGGGAGCTCACTAATTTATATTATGGCAGAACTCTTGCTTTTGTGCATCATTCTTATTCAAAAGTTAATACTCAATCTTGATAATTTTGGATTTGTACCCAGAATGGAATTGCCCAAATTAGTTCTTTTCCTCCAAAATCATTTTATTGGGATGTTAATCTTACTCTACAGAAACACTGAACAGGTTTCACAGCTCTCTTGCCCATCTTACTTGATTTCCGCAACGGCTTTGGCAGAGGTAAGCAGGGCTAGTGTCATCCATATTTTACAAACTAGGAACACGGGAACGGAATCTGGGGGAGGTTGGAGGACTTGCTCAGGGTCACAGAACAGAACCAGAAAACAGATCTTTCAGTCTCGTCCTGGCTCTGTCCAGACATTACAGTTTCAGTGCTTAAAATAAGCAAAAATATTACTCAAGACATTATTGTTTTGCCAGCATTTTAATAGATGATGCAGTGACATAATGCCCACTTGACAGCTCATCGTAGTAATGTGGGGAGTTTCTCATCAGTGTTAGTGGTACATTAGTAACTGCCTTTTTTGCTGCCCTCTTTGTTAGAAGAGTTCAAAGAAAAGCTGAAACCAAACTTTGGGAAAGAGCATGTTGTGACTGGTGTGTATTTTAAAGGAAAGAAAAACCTGGTAAGTGGAATTGATAGGAGAGAGTGGCACAACCTAAAGTTAAAATATCTGAGAAGACAGATGGCTTTTGGATAGCTTGAGACCTACAGATGAATGAAAACCTCTTGGCATATAGATTGGTGCAGTTGATCACTCACGTTGTGATTTTAAAAAATGTAGAAGCAGTACACTTAGAATATTGTCTTCATGTCAGAAATGCACCTTTGTGCTTGAAAATGATAAAAAATTACAATCGATCCTTACAACTGTTCTGTTCATCTTTATTGATCAGGTGCAAGAAAGATAAATCGCAGCCCAAATAAGATTATAGTAAATGTTAGCGTCGTAGGGGACTCTAGGTTGATAGAGAGCCATTCATCATCTCAAATGGTGACCTGTCCGTTGCTCCAGCCATCCCAAGCCTGCTGTCTAATCACATACCTATTGATTTTATCCACATCCCACAAACCTGGATGTGACTGTCATTGGGCAACCCAGATTGTTAAATGCAACGGGGTCACTGGTGTGAAGAGGATTTCATTTTCATTTTCTCACCAACCAACAATGATCTATTAAAAAATAAACCGTCCCAATTCATGCATGGGGAACCTGAGTGATTAGAGAATGAAGAGGCACAATAGACCACCGTATTGTGTTGTGTTCTTTTGAACTGCGATGCATTTTACAGGATATTCTATGGGGTCTGAAGGATCATGGAGTCCTTTAGGCCACCCCCTGCAGTAAGACAGTTTGCACAGTAGCTAGCCAGAATGAATCAGTTTTAATTTGCTACCCTGGGAAAGGCATAACTTTGCTCTTGCAATTTGATTTATGTTGCTTGTGTGTTTATTTGTGTAATAGTGAAAACTTTTTTTTTTAATATAAAAATTACCTAAATCTGCCCCTTGTTTTTACTGATTAATTTGTTGCAAATGTTGATGCTCTTGTGGTCATCTGGAGATGATAGAACACATTCTACTCCATAAAGAATCCATCTTGAGTTCAGAAATAATACTATGTAAAAAGAAATGATCCTTTAATATCCTAGGTGCGACACTGGAATAAAAAGTAAATATGTGTGAATTTCATTATTGAGTCTCAAGCATCTTCTGATCTTGCAGTGATAGATTCCAAATAAGGGAGATCTTACAAGACTCTGCTAGGAATTTTCTCAGAAGGATCAAATAATGATGAATTATGATTATGAATGTTTATTTTGTAGTTACAACCTATATACCAACAACTGTACTGTTACTTCAGTGGGTACCTTAACATATATTTTTGTAAGTAGCCCTGCCACTTAATGCAGAAAGTCTTTCTCCTACTGCTTCAGTGGCTGAAACAAGATTTTATGTAATTTTTGAAATTGCAAGTCTTGCACACATTTTGTCCTCTTGGATAGTGAAAACCCTGCTGTCAATCTTTATCCACAGAGCTCAGAGTTCTACAAAGTCACCACTGAGCAATACCAGAAAGCTGCTGAGGAGGTGGAAGCAAAGTTCAAGTAAGTTTTTAATAATATTTTTTTTGTAGTTTTAATATATTTTTATTGAAGTACAATCAGGTTACAATGTTGTGTCAGTTTTGGTGTACAGCACAATACTTCAGTCACATAGGAACATACATACATTTGTTCTCATATTCTTCACCATAGGTTATAAGATATTGAATATGGTTCCCTGTGCTATACACTATAAACTTGTTGCTTATCTATTTTATATGTATTGTTAATATCTGCATTTAACAGTATTTTCATTATTTAATCTTCTTGACAAGATGAAAGTACATCTTTATTGCTCTTTGAACAGAATACAGTTTGATATTTTAGCCCTCTGGAGTACTTAGAAGTGTGTTTGGGTGGTTGAGATAGCTCCATGGTGCTTAGTGGAATTCAAATACAAGGAATAGACATTTGATGAAAGCATGTTGCAACTCAATTTTATGAACTCAAGAAATTGAAAGCAATGGTAGTAGAATTGTTTTTGAATATTATATAAGTTAGGATGCCTTTGATTATAAGGTGTTGTTAAATTGCTACCTCTATTAATAGGAACTCAGAAACCCTTCACTTTTGTGTGATAAAATGATGGGCATGTCCAAATTTGAGTATCTGCCTTTCTCAGGTTTAAGCTGTTTTCACTTCTTCATGTGTAGCATTTAAATCACAGACTTTACCTTGCCCTTGATTTTGAAGGTGATGCTAAATTGCTACCTGTACTAATCCTTGGAATGTTTAAATGAATGTTCTGTAATTGACAGATCAAAGTGTCTGTAACCCCTAGCCCTGTACTTTCCCTTTGCTGCCAGTGCTCACATTAGGTTATAAGACATCATTCAGAATTTTCCTGGGTGTTTAAATAGTTCTGTTGTGTAACCTGGTAGTCACACATGTGAAAATTAGTGAAGCAAAACAAGATGTTGTGACAGGTTTAGTTGAAAGATTACATTGGGCTCTGACCTCGTTCCTTTGCACATGTTTATAAGCATTTGATAAAATGATTAAACCCTAAGGTGGAATGTTATTTCTTTCTGCTGTAGTGCAATTTATGTGGTAACGGATATTAATGTTATATTAGTTTTGATTTTAAAAAAGATATTTTTTAAAAGATGATTTGAGATATATTTAAATAGACAGAAACCTCCCATCTTCCTTAGTGCATTATCTCTTTGGGGGCAGCAGGGAAAGACCTTCTAAGAATTGGCCATAAATCTCACTGTTAAAGGTTAATGTGCTATTTTCAGAATTAGATATGGAACTGGATTCACTTGATTTTAAAAGGCACTCTACATATGTATGTTTTAAATTATGTTGTTATCTTTCTTCCCCCTAATCATAAAGCAATATTTTTTAAACTGTTTGTCTCTGTACTGTGAGAACCTTTGACTTGGCACTTGGATATTGCTGCCTTGTAAGATGATAGCTATACAAATACTAAAATTTTAGATAAACCAAAGGAGATCAGTTCTGACTGGAATGGTCTGTGATCTGTGAAGTCATCATAAAGAAGATATTTTAGTTGAGGCTTGAAGTAGGGTATTGAGTAGGTGAGAAGAAAAGGTATTCAAATGGAAAATTATGCTCAGTGATTGGTGGATGACATAGTAGTTAACATCAGTGGTTTACTCAGAGAAACTAGTGTGAAATATAGCTGGAAAGGTCAGTAGGGTTTTTGATTAGCTGCTGGGCTAAGAAGTTGGTCTTCATTGAGCCTGAAGTCATTGGAAGGTGTTTGACCAGGTGAGTACCCTGATTTCCATGCTCCTTTAGGAATACTAATCCGACCGTGGATGTGAGGTTTGTTTGGCGATGTGAGGGGAAAAAAAGAGACGGAAGTACTGGAGGAGAGGTCTCTAATAGTGAAGGAGAAAAGGTGGTGTCTGGGATGCAAAAAGTCATTGAAAGATTAGATGTGAATCAGTGATGAACTGGTGTACCAGTTTGCTAGGACTGCCACAGACTGAGTGGCTTAATCAGCAGAAATTTATTTCCTCACAATTCTGGAGGCTGGAAGTTTGAGATCAGGGTGTCAGCAGGGTTGGTTTCCTCAGGGGCCTTACTCCTTGGCTTGCAGATGGCTGTCTTTACATGGTCTTCACCCTGTGTCTGTGTCCTAATTGCCTCCTCTTAAAAGGTGCATTGGATTAGGGCCCACCTTAATGACTTCATTTTAACTAACTTATCTCTTTAAAAACCCTCTGTCCAAATTCACTCTCTGAAGTACCAGGCATTAGGACTTCAACATCTGAATTTTGGGAAGACACAGTTCAGTTCATACATTTGGATAGAAGGGGTAGAGGAGAACCAGTAGTCCAAGCTTAGCAGGTTGGAAAATTGGTGGAAGCTGGATTTCATGGAGAGAGAGAGAGGAGTCTGATTTTAGATGAAACAAGTATCTCTTCTGAAGCCCTGCTCAGCTGCCTTGTTTTCCCACCTGGGCTAGCCTGCTGCAGAGTGAGAGGCTACATGGAGCAAAGAATAAAAGTCACAGTGACTGACCTTCTCCAGGACGACGTGGACCTGTAGGTTAGACTTAGTTTTAAGCAGAGCCTCAGCACCATCACTCTCTTTGATCTTTAATAAGATATATTTCTTTATTAGATCCTACTCTCGTCTGGTGTGGTAAACAATTTGACCTTTCCCAAAATGAGCTCTGGCCTTTGTACCCAGCTCCTGGGACTAACCTCTAAAGCACTGAAATTCCCAAGTGGAAGAAGTGTCTTCTTCGTATGGTGGGCCCCTTGAGCCACTTGATACTAACCTGCTACCGAAGACTGGATTCAGCCACATAGGCAGTCAAGCAGGCAAGCCTGTGTAATGAGGCTCCAGTGAAACTCTGGACACTCAAGTTTGGGTGAGCGTCTCTGGTTGATAATACCCTGCATTTTGTCACACATTGATACCAGGAGGATTGTGCATCCTGAGGACAATGGAAACATTGCATTTGGAACCCTCTCAGACTTTGTCCTGTGTCTGTCTTCCTTTGGCTGATTCTCTGTAGCATTTATCACAATAAGCAATAAAACTATGAGTTTAATAGCTTTAGTGAGTTCTGCGAGTCCCTTTACCAGATTATCAAAGCTTAGAGTTATAAAACCTCAGGTTTTATACACTGTGAAGGAATTTCAAGAGTTAGTTTTTCAGAGAGTAGCTTTGACTATATCATTTTTTTTTTCAGCTACTACCTGCTAGACTGAGCTTCCTAGAATATCATATTTTGATTTGTAGTGAGTTCATTGCCTTCGTACTGAGGAAGTGATAGTGTTTTGGCTCTAAGACATGCTTACCATCTTTGAAGGCATAGAGATTTCTCAGTGGAATTTTGTTTCTTAGAAATTTGGGCATCTCAGATAATCATGACGCCTTCAGTCTTTTGCAAGGCAGTCTGCTTCATTCTTTCCATTGCCTGACAGAGCTAGACTCAGCAGTCCCTCTGAGACAGCAAGCTCTGAAGGACTTTGAGGGGAATTTAGTTAATTTTATCTGATGGAAGGATTCATTTGGGTGCATCTTGGTTACAGGAGATGGAAGCTTTTTATATTGCAATTTCAAGAGCAATATTATGCATGTGATAGGGGGTCACACAAAATCACTACAAAGAGAAAGAATGCTCCAGCATTTGAAGCCACACGTGATGAACTCCAATCACACTGCTGCATCCTGCCAGGATACCTAATGGGATTATTTTAGGGATGCTTAAATATTAACTCACCCTTCAGTCCCTCAGTTTATAGTTTGGCAGTAAACCATTAAAACACTTTAGATTTAATGGAATTTCCCCCCCTATTTTATCAACCCATCATTCATTCATAGTGCTCCTCTGCAGCAAGCCCTCTGCTGAGTTCTGAATATGCAGACATGAGGGAGACGGCGAGAGTCTTACCAGTGTGCAACTTAGAGTTTGTCAGAGGAGATCAAGAGGAAGACAGAATTTTAAAGTAGAACTTTTTAAAAATCCAAAGTTAATTCTACATGTTGAGATGATTACATCCCTAATAAATTTCAAGTTACTAAAAATTATTACCATTTTTCCAATGGAAATTAAGTAATTTGGGATCAAGAATTTGTGCTGTTTATGTTCCTGCAAGAACTTTTTCCCCACAACAGCTTTAAAATTTTAGCTATAAAATCCAGACCACTGGGTAAATCCAGTGATTTGTCTGTTAGATAGAGCAAGTTACGGTGCTAGTTTCTGGTTCATTATCTGGCGGTAGAACCATGTTATAGCCCAGCTTACTGAAAATTATGTTCTATATTAATCCTTATAGTCTACCTTATAGGTAATTAATTAAACAAAATGTTAAAAGTTACGCAGATGGTGCTTTGCACAAATCTAGCACAAAGTAAATGCTCAATGAATGTTAGATTTTATTTTTAGTATATATTACTGTTATCATATTATTATATTATTAGTTTGTTGTTAATGTCTAACTCAGGTTATTAAACTATACACCATGGGAGAAATTTCTGTATCTAGTTCCAGACAAAATTTAGATGATGTTAAAACCTCCTGAAAGAACATTAGAGAGAGTTCTTACCGTTGGGGAGCTCACAGACCAGCTGGAAGACAGCATATAAAGCTCTCCTGGCAGGACAGCCCAGATCAGGATGTGGCAAAGCTGTCAGGACACATGGACAGAGTGCCACAGGGGCTCTGGTTTTTGATCAGCATCAGAATTAAGTTGCGTTGAGTGGATTGGAGCCGATATACCACATCTACAGAAAGGAAATGTTACCACAGTGTTATGTATACACAAATTGTTTTTAAAATATAAAAATAAATGTCAAGCAAATGTAAAGCAAATATCAAAGAAATATAAAATATCATAAAGGCAACAATGTAAACCTTGTGAAGACAATATAATATCAAACAAATGAAAAACATTTTAAAGGTGATTGCTGTTTCATTCTCATGTTTTCCTTTAGATAATGAAGTGGTCAATTTCTGCCCTCCATAAAGGCAAAATATACGTAGGAAGTGACAAAGATCTTTTGAGAATATTTTT